TACAGCCCTCTAGTAGCGAAAAGCGCCGGCTTTGAAAACCCAAAAAACGGCGGCTGAATCGCGTTTTCCTTGCTAAAGCTGTTTTGTTTTTCGGCCTTCGGCCTCAAGGGCTATTGATTCAGAGCCCATTCGGGCTCGAGGAATAATTGTTAAATATATACAACGATGGAAACCGAATCCCACAAGGGCTGCCACCGCCTTTGGAGCCCAAAGCTGCGCAAAGGGAGCCTGTGTCACCACCATGAAGGAAAAGGACGCAAAGACTGCGAGAATTTGACCCTTTATCGGAAAATTTCGTCGCGAAATCCCCACCAGCGAGGTGCAATATACCGGCCTGGTATGTGATAGACTGCAAAACAGTCGTTTTTTTTTTTCTCAAAATCAGTAAAGAAATTGGTAAAGGGTCGCGTAAGAGTCTTGCCCTCGCGAAGCACACGCCCGTCGTTCCAGACCTTTTGAAGAAGAAGAAGAAGAAGAAAAATATCTACCAGTGACCATCGGTATTCACAAAGAGCACCCCTCTTTTATCACAGACCTCGAAAGGCAGCTAAAATGTATGAGTGTGCGTACTGTGGGCCAAGATTCACACAATCATGTAAGCTTTTACACCATGCTGCAAGGTGCACAAACGGACAAACAAAAATAGTCTTTCGTGGAGAGAAGATTTGGGCGCCAGAGTCCCTGTACGAAAGAACATTCCATACAAGGGGTAAATACGGAAAACGGGCCTGTTATTGGGTAGAAATCGAGGCAAGGCGGCATGGAATCCACATCAGTTATCAAATGTGTTGGCACAGAGATGAGCGTTTGTTCTTCGGGCATCCAGTGGACGGGTTTCATCTCGAGAGCAAAGCAGTACTTCAGTTCCACGAGTGTCATTTCCACGGATGTCCACAATGTTACCCGGAAAGAGATCACGTTTTGCACAGGGAGAAAGGAAAGAATGTAACACGAGAACATGTATAACAAAAAACTTCGTGAAGAAACGCAGCAATCATCCAGGCGGGATACAACTTGGTTGTGCGGTGGGAGCATGAGAAGCCGTAGCCAAGGCGTTGCAAGCTTCCATGCAAGCAAAATGAAACGTTTCCAAATGCGATTGTGTTCGATTTTGAGGCGTATCAAGACCCTAGGGAAAAGGAGATGCCCACAGCAGAGGGCGAGCACGTTCCTATATCCGTCTCCCTGGCGGACGCGTTCGACAGGGAACCTGAGCATCTTTCAGCAAGAGACCCGAATGAGCTGTTAAGAAAGTTCTAAGAAGCGTTGGTAACGCGAGAAGAAATTTTGAGGGAGAGGGTGAGACAAAGATAAGTGTGGAAGATTACGAGCTATTTTAGAAGAAGAAGCAAGCGACGATACGAAAATGGTACAATCAAATACCAGTGGCGGGTTTCAGCTCGGGTAAGTATGATTTGAATGTTATCAAAAAGTATTTCATAACGCATATATAGGTGCAGAAAAGCAGGTGACGGTGGCCAAGAAGCAAGGAAGAATCTTATTATTGTCCACACCGAGTTTCAGGTTGTTAGACATCATTAATTATTTGGGTCCCGGCACAAGTTTATGAGAAGTGGGTGAAAACGTACGGAAGCCGCCAGATAAAATCATGGCTGCCGTATGAGTGGTTTGACTGTGTAGACAAACTGGATTATGAGGGTTTGCCGCCGTATCGTTGTTGGTTCTCAAAACTGAAGAACGAGTAAGAAGAATGCCTGTGAGTGTTCCAGGAGAGGAGAATGAAAATGTTCGTTGATTGGTTAGAGTATTACAACAACCTTGATGTCGGAGCATTCCTGGAAGCGCTGGAAAAAATGAGAAGGTTTTACTCAGGGCTTGGTGTCGACATTTTACTGCGCTTTTTACAAACATGCGAACTGTAAAGTTCAAAAGCCGCCTTCACAATTGCGTTTTTCGCTGCCGTCAATCATAATTACGATCACAAGCAACGAACCTTGAAACACAGAAACACAAAAAACGGATCGAAATCCACCAATCACATATCACAAACCTTGACCTTTTGAACCCGTTAAAGTAAAGTTTTGTT